AAAAGGGGGATATGGGGACACTGGGGATACTGGGAGGGCACTGGGGAGACTGGGTGGGCACTGGGGACACTGGGGAGACTGGGAGGGCACTGGAAGAGATATTTGGAACACTGGAGATACTGGGAGGGGCACTGGGAGGGGATACTGGGAGGGACATTGGGGTCACTGGGACAGACTGGGGACACTGGGGAGACTGGGAGGGCACTGGAAGAGATATTTGGAACACTGGAGATACTGGGAGGGGCACTGGGAGGGGATACTGGGAGGGACATTGGGGTCACTGGGACAGACTGGGGACACTGGGAGGGACATCAGGGACACTGGGGACAATGGGGGGGACATTGGGGCCACTGGGGATACTGGGAGGGACATTGGGGACACTGGGGGACACTGGGGACACTGGGGGACACTGGGGACAATGGGGGGCACACTGGGGACACTGGGGACACACTGGGGGACATTGGGAGGGACACTGGGGCACACTGGGGACAATGGGGGGGACACTGGGGACACTGGGGATACTGGGAGGGACATTGGGAGGGACACTAGGGCACACTGGGGACACTGGGGGGGACATCAGGGACACTGGGGGACACTGGGGACACTGGGGGGCACATCAGGGACACTGGGACACACTGGGGATACTGGGAGGGACATCAGGGACACTGGGAGGGACATTGGGGATACTGGGAGGGACATCAGGGACACTGGGGACACTGGGGAGGACGTTAGTGACACTGGGGACACTGGGGGGGACATTGGGGACACTGGGACACACTGGGGACACTGGGACACACTGGGGATACTGGGAGGGACATCAGGAACACTGGGACACACTGGGGACACTGGGAGGGACATCAGGGACACTGGGGGGGACATCAGGGACACTGGGGGGGACATCAGGGACACTGGGAGGTGACAATGTCCCCCCTGTCCCCAGGTCTGGCTCCGTGATGGAGCGCAGGGCCATCACCCCCTGTGGGGTCACTGGGGACACTGGGGTGACTGGGGACACTGGGGGGGACATCAGGGACACTGGGGACACTGGGAGGTGACAGTGCCACCCCGTTTGTCCCCCCTGTCCCCAGGTCTGGCTCCGTGATGGAGCGCAGGGCCATCACCCCCCGTGGGGTCACTGGGACACACTGGGGACACACTGGGGACACTGGGGGGGACATCAGGGACACTGGGAGGTGACAGTGCCACCCCCCTGGTGACAGTGCCACCCCGCTGTCCCCAGGTCTGGCTCCGTGATGGAGCGCAGGGCCATCACCCCCCGTGGGGACACTGGGGACACTGGGGTGACTGGGGACACACTGGGGACACTGGGGGGGACATCAGGGACACTGGGGACACTGGGAGGTGACAATGTCCCCGCTGTCCCCAGGTCTGGCTCGGTGATGGAGCGCAGGGCCATCACCCCCCCCGTGGGGACACTGGGGACACTGGGACACACTGGGGATACTGGGAGGGACATCAGGGACACTGGGAGGGACATTGGGGACACTGGGGACACTGAGGAGGACATTGGGGACACTGGGACACACTGGGGATACTGGGAGGGACATCAGGGACACTGGGAGGGACATTGGGGACACTGGGGACACTGAGGAGGACATTGGGGACACTGGGACACACTGGGGATACTGGGAGGGACATGAGGGACACTGGGACACACTGGGGATACTGGGAGGGACACTGGGGACACTGGGACACACTGGGGACACTGGGAGGGACATCAGGGACACTGGGACACACTGGGGGGGACACTGGGGATACTGGGAGGTGACAATGTCCCCGCTGTCCCCAGGTCTGGCTCCGTGATGGAGCGCAGGGCCATCACCCCCCATGGGGACACTGGGGACACTGGGGAGACTGGGGGGGACATCAGGGACACTGGGGTGACTGGGGACACACTGGGGGGTCATTATGGACATCAGGGACACACTGGGGACACTGGGGGGGACATCAGGGACACTGGGGACACTGGGAGGTGACAGTGCCACCCCGTTTGTCCCCGCTGTCCCCAGGTCTGGCTCCGTGATGGAGCGCAGGGCCATCACCCCCTGTGGGGACACTGGGGACACTGGGGGGTCATTATGGACATCAGGGACACTGGGACACACTGGGGACACTGGGAGGTGACAGTGCCACCCCCCAGGTGACAGTGCCACCCCGTTTGTCCCCCCTGTCCCAGGTCTGGCTCCGTGATGGAGCGCAGGGCCATCACCCCCCTGTGGGGACACTGGGACACACTGGGGTGACTGGGGACACTGGGGACACTGGGGGGGACATCAGGGACACTGGGGACACTGGGAGGTGACAGTGCCACCCCCCTGGTGACAATGTCCCCCCTGTCCCCAGGTCTGGCTCCGTGATGGAGCGCAGGGCCATCACCCCCTGTGGGGTCACTGGGACACACTGGGGTGACTGGGGGGGACATCAGGGACACTGGGGACACTGGGAGGTGACAATGTGCCCCCTGTCCCAGGTCTGGCTCGGTGATGGAGCGCAGGGCCATCACCCCCCCCGTGGGGTCACTGGGGACACTGGGGTGACTGGGGACACACTGGGGACCTTGGGGTGGACATCAGGGACACTGGGGACACTGGGGTGACTGGGAGGGACATCAGGGACACTGGGGACACTGGGAGGTGACAGTGCCACCCCGTTGTCCCCAGGTCTGGCTCCGTGATGGAGCGCAGGGCCATCACCCCCCGTGGGGACACTGGGACACACTGGGACACACTGGGGTGACTGGGGACACACTGGGGACACTGGGGACACTGGGGTGACTGGGGGGGACATCAGGGACACTGGGACACACTGGGGACACTGGGAGGTGACAGTGCCACCCCCCAGGTGACAGTGCCACCCCGCTGTCCCCAGGTCTGGCTCCGTGATGGAGCACAGGGCCATCACCCCCCCGTGGGGTCACTGGGGACACTGGGACACACTGGGGTGACTGGGGACACACTGGGGTGACTGGGAGGGACATCAGGGACACTGGGAGGTGACAGTGCCACCCCCCAGGTGACAGTGCCACCCCCCTGTCCCAGGTCTGGCTCCGTGATGGAGCGCAGGGCCATCACCCCCCGTGGGGTCACTGGGGACACTGGGGTGACTGGGGACACACTGGGGACACTGGGGGGGACATCAGGGACACTGGGAGGTGACAGTGCCACCCCGTTTGTCCCCCTGTCCCAGGTCTGGCTCGGTGATGGAGCGCAGGGCCATCACCCCCCCCGTGGGGTCCCCCGTGGGCCGCCCCCTGTACCTGCCCCCCGACAAGTCGGTGCTGGCCCTGGACAAGATCGCCAAGAGGGAGTGCAAGGTCCTGGTGGTGGCACCCGTGCAGTGACACCCTGGGGACAGCGGGGACAGCGGGGACATCGAGGGACGTCGGGGACAGCGAGGACAGGCCACCCTGGGGGTCCCAAACGCGCCCAGGGACCCCCTTGGGGGGCTGGAGCTGCTGCTTGGAGGTGCCAAGGGAGGGGGCAGAGGGGACACGGGGATGTCCCCAAGCTTGGGGACAACCCCCAAGTGTCCCCAAGTGTCCCCAAAGTGTCCCCAAAGTGTCCCCAGGTGTCCCCAGGTGTCCCCAAGCTTGGGGACATCGAGGACGTGCCACCCCGGGGGTCCCAAACGCGCCCAGGGACCCCCCCGGGGGGCTGGAGCTGCTGCTTGGAGGTGCCAAGGGAGGGGACAGAGGGGACACGGGGATGTCCCCGAGCTTGGGGACACCTTGGGGACACTTTGGGGCGTTGTCCCAAAGCTTGGGGACACTTGGGGACATCAAGGATGTGCCACCCCGGGGGTCCCAAATGCGCCCAGGGACCCCCTTTGGGGGCTGGAGCTGCTGCTTGGAGGTGCCAAGGGAGGGGACAGAGGGGACACGGGGATGTCCCCAAGTGTCCCCAAGCTTGGGGACAACCCCAAAGTGTCCCCAAGTGTCCCCAGGTGTCCCCAAGCTTGGGGACATCGAGGACAGGCCACCCCAGGGGTCCCAAACGCGCCCAGGGACCCCCCCCGGGGGGCTGGAGCTGCTGCTTGGAGGTGCCAAGGGAGGGGACAGAGGGGACACAGGGATGTCCCCGAGCTTGGGGACACCTTGGGGACACTTATGGACACACCAGGGGTCATCCCCAAGCTTGGGGACACTTGGGGACATCAAGGACAGGCCACCCCGGGGGTCCCAAACGCGCCCAGGGACCCCCCCGGGGGGCTGGAGCTGCTGCTTGTGGGTGCCAAGGGAGGGGACAGAGGGGACACGGGGATGTCCCCAAGCGTCCCCAAGTTTGGGGACAACCCCAAAGTGTCCCCAAAGTGTCCCCAAGTGCCCCCAGGTGTCCCCAAGCTTGGGGACATCGAGGACAGGCCACCCCGGGGGTCCCAAACGCGCCCAGGGACCCCCCCGGGGGGCTGGAGCTGCTGCTTGTGGGTGCCAAGGGAGGGGACAGAGGGGACACTTGGGGACATCAAGGATGTGCCACCCCGGGGGTCCCAAACGCGCCCAGGGACCCCCCCGGGGGGCTGGAGCTGCTGCTTGGAGGTGCCAAGGGAGGGGACAGAGGGGACACGGGGATGTCCCCAAGCGTCCCCAAGTTTGGGGACAACCCCAAAGTGTCCCCAAAGTGTCCCCAAGTGCCCCCAGGTGTCCCCAAGCTTGGGGACAGCGAGGACAGGCCACCCCGGGGGTCCCAAACGCGCCCAGGGACCCTCTTGGGCGGCTGGAGCTGCTGCTTGGAGGTGCCAAGGGAGGGGACAGAGGGGACACGGG